CCCATTAGTTGCAAGTCTCCTCACTCAAGCGATGGATTTCTCGTTTAAGCGAGAGTTGACCACAAACTAAAGGTCTAACGCAGTTAGCCACATAATGTAACTTGGATCACCACATATTTCAATCATTTCTCGCTCAAGCGAGAATTTTGTTGCTTGAGCGAAATAGAACTCGACAATACCTATTAGTTGCAGGTCTTCTTGCTCAAGCGATGAATTTCTCACTTGAGCGAAAGTTAATCTTGTACAAAATAATCTATCATAATCTAAATAATCGATTATTTTAAAATGTGAACAATAAATGGTGCTAGATAGGTAAATAATGTTACGAGAGATCTTATTTTGAGAAATATTTTTTAAAATGATATTATTTATGAAAAAAAATTACACTAAGAGGCTAATATAAAATTATATTTACGATAATGTTTTTTTTTTTTTTAAGGATACTTGTTACTTGAAAAATGTAAGGTTCATGTTTACATGCTAAATTATTATTCTGTATCATATTGTTGGTAATGATGGAGGAAATAATGTATTTTAAGGATTATCGTCCCTAAACATTTTAATCTTATTAGTTAATATTAATATGTTATTTGTAATTTTATTTTATTAATTAAAGAAAATAAATATATTTCATTTTGATTCCCCTTTAAATAAAATGGTGGCTTTTGCTTATAAACACTAAAAAGAATTTGACAAAGAGTTATTTAAAAACCACAAAAAATATTTAATCTATAATGGTAGAATCCCCATTATTATTTTAAAATAAAGAAAAAAATAATTACTTGTAAACTTTATTTGGAATAAGATTTGAACCTAGAGTTCTTGTGTTTTCAATTATTTAAAATAACTCATTTAGTTTTTGTAAAACAAAATGTAATATTAATCATATTTAATAAATAGATGCTATTAATTATTAAAACTAATTAGATCAAATCATTATTATTCCATAAATTATTATTTCAAAATCTATTTTATTTATATTATCATTAAATTTATTTTTGTATCCATGAAATTGAATATACTTATTATAATTTTATTTTAGTTGAATACATGAGCAAAACCAACATTGATTATGTATGGTTTATATAAGGATTATTATAATTTATTGATACTTATATTAGTTGCAAGTATTATTTACTTATATTTCATAATTATGACTATCGATGAGACTTTTTTCACAATTTTTTTGAAAGTATTCCTTAAAAGTCTCGATTAAGTACTCTTTTATAATCCTAAGTTGTTTTTTTATAGTTTGAAACTTGACATCTTTTTGTAGCTCAATAACCTTAGTTTTAATAACAAGGTTTTGCTTTGTAACATCTTTAACCTTCATCATGACCTTTATCGTAATTTTCTTCACCTCCTTGACCATCTTTGTCTTAATAAAATTTGATTTTTATTCTAGAAAACTTAATGTACCAATACTTAATTCTCCTTATCCTAAACAAAGAGGGTCACCTCATGATCAATTAACGTTGTTTGAAGTTAATCCTTCTATTTCTACAAAACCAAAAGATCTTTAGCTCTTTGACTCTCGCCATAATGAATATATGAAATTGTGTTCTTTCAATAATGGACTATTGACATACATTGACTCAAGAGCACCTCAATATAATCTAAGCAATCCATGGGACCCATTATCTTTAACAACTTGATGTTGTGTGGTAAAAGAAGTTACACTCTAACTTATTCCCTCTATGTCATATTGATGTATACATGATCCAAGCAAGGTAAGGGACCCTCACTCCTCTAAGAAGGTATGATGTGGGTGGTGAAGGAGCTTCACAAGATATCCAGGACTAAGGTGAAGTTGCATGAGTGGGAGTAAAGACAATAAGAGAAAGAGTCTCACCCACGACCTCGAGTTGGTACTTTTGTATCTAAAGGGGAAGTTGGGTCATTAATGTTTATTATCTTTAGCCTATTAGAAGTTCAGTCTCCCACCTTAATAGCCTAGATGGTGGGACCACTGCTAATTGTGACAAGTTTAGCTCAAGTCTTATTATAATCTGTTCCGGTACACTTATGAAGTCTCATATCGCTTAAGAATCAAGGTCAAGGGTAGTATAAATACACATTCCTCCCTTAACCCACCGATGCACATTTTAAAGGATAAAATCGTGACAGATGAGAACTCCAAAGCGGATAACACCTCGAACGTGGAAGTTGACCCTAATGATATTAGTCCTGGATACTCTCGATCCTTAATCAAACATGGCATACCCAAAAAATGAGTTTTTGGTCCTCAACATAGGAGACAAACAAAAGATCCTTGCAATTTATGAAACCCGGAAGACTTGTCAAAATTTTAATATCAGTATTATCCTTAAAAGTCAGTAAGTACTCAACTTGAGATTTGAATTTATGAGTATGCTAATGTAGCGGAAGACAAGATGTATGATCAAAGTTTAGAAAAATTCTTCTAATATGATCCTCCCAGACACATTTATTTTGAAAAAAATGACTCTAAAAGCTTTTTAAGGAAGAGCAATAAATGGTAAACAAGTCATCGGGTTGAGAACCATCAAGGGATACTCATCAGATCTCTTATTCGTGTTTGAATTGATAAAAAAATACATAAATATTTGTAGGGTAGGAGATAAATATATAATATCATATAAATTTTGAAAAGCTTTTAAGAAGAATGAAGTTGATTCAAAGCATTACATAATTGAATCATATTACATTCAACATCACTAAAAGACACATAATATCTAACTTTTTAAAGAAAAAATCATATATAAAGGTAGAATTTCCAGTGTTCAAACCAAGCTTCATTTATACACAATCGATAGATAAACAAGATTCAACAATTACAAACTCGAGATCAACATCAATACAAATGTCTAAAACTTTGCAAATAAAAGACATAATAGTAAGATCAAAATAATAATTATCAACTTCTCCGAGTAACCAACTATATTCGGGATTTGAGATGTCGGAAAATATAAACCTCTCACTCTCACTAGTAAAACTTAGACCAACCTTAACCACCAACTTTTGGATCTTAGGTCCACGATGACTAGAAGAGGTCTTACGATGTGTAATACCCCTAGGGTCCACATCAACAATAATGACCACCACCATATGAGAAGGAGAAATTCTTTTCTCCTTAAAAGAAAAGTTCGACAAACTCTTTTCATTTGTGAACTTATCACTAATATGGTGAACTTCACATTCATTTAATAATGGTTCAAAGTAGGAAGAACCACCAAAATCATCAAAAAACAAAAACAAGAAACATATGATATTTAAAAGATTAAAATGAAACATACCTAAAAGACGTAAATGAAAGGAGATTCGAAGAAAAAAGAAAACTTGAAGAAAAAGAAAGCAAAAAATGACAAAGTAAACATGATTTGAATTTGATGCATTTACTTAAATTTTGAGGCATAAATTTTAGGAAGAAAACCTACATTAACACGTTATTAAGTGACGCCTTATTAGTAAAACCTCCGAGCATGTTAAAATAATTATAACATCTAAAATTAGTAAAAATGGTGAATATTAAATCTAAAATTAGTAAAAATGGTGAATATTAAATCTTAAAATGAGATTAGTGCAAGCAAAACTAATATTAAAGTTCAAAGTTCAATGAAAACATTTTTTATATAAATCTTTTAAATATATATTATAATAACAATATAAAATAATATAACTATTATATATTAAAAGACAAAAAATAATATTAACATAAATATACATTATTACTTAAAATGTGATAATAAAAAAATGTATAAATATGAGTGATTTATTATTATCAAGATATATTTATTTTTATAAATTTTTATGTTATTTCAATTTTTTCTTCTTTCATATATATTTGAACTTTAAAGTATTTTTTCAATACTTATCCAAAATTCGATCAAGTATATTTTAATATAATTATCATTTAAATGTTATATATATATATATATATATATAATTAAAATATTTATTTTTTCAAAATCAGAATAACCAATTAAAAGATACTATAACTTAAAATATGTTGTTGAACATAAAAACAAAAGTAAATTCTTAAATACATAGTTTCATGCTATGTATGGCACTAATTAAGTTAAATAATTATTATGATTTATATTGATTTTATATTTTTGTAATTTAATTTAATTTTTTTATTTAATATTTTTTTATCATCTAATAATTTTACAAATTCATTTTTTTGTTATAGATAATGAATTATGAAATTTTAACCTTTTTATTATTAAGTAAACAAATATTTATTAATAATGTAAAAACATTTACGGTTACCAAAACTACTTAAAAATGTACATAAAATACTGGCAAAAATTTCAATATATAAATTCTTAAAAATAAATAAAATCCTGTTAAATATGATGATTTCATATTTTATAAATAATGACAAAATCATTAAAAAAATGATAAAATCATTTTAAATTAACCTTTTTTTTATAACTTCTACGTAAAAAAAAAAATAGTTGAAATCTTATATTAAAACTTAAACAAAGTCCCGCTATTAAAAATGTAATAAAAGTTGAAGTTTAATAAAGATGTAGTAAGAAATTTTTACAAAATAATAATACATGTGAATATAAAGATTTGTTTCTAATAAAGAATGTGTTTCTTTATTTATAACGATTAGAAGAAAAAAAAATTAAGTAAATGTTTTATTTAAATTAAAACATACTTATATGAATTCTTTCGTTAAAAAAAGAAAAATATACTTATATGTTTTATCTCAACTATGTAACTTTGTTAAAATATTTTACCATTTTCTTCTTCGTTCCAGGTTCCAGCGTCAATGACACTTTGCACCACGAAAACCCCAAAAAATTCTCTCCCCCTCTTTTCTCTCTATCTGCTCCCTTCCTCCGCCCACTCGAAACTCGCACTCGCTTCTCTCCCCCTCTTTTCTCTCTATCTGCTCCCTTCCTCCGCCCACAACGATAATCGAATCACTACGAGATTCGATTCGTATTTGATTTGAGTGGAATCAAACTGAATATTAATGCTGCAACTGCGAAGATAATTCTCCAGCAATGTTTGAAGGACTGGTTCATCAGTTGCTTCTGGGTTACCTGGGCCGATATTTCAAAGATATCCAGAAAGAGCAGCTGAAGATCAGGCTCGGTACGTGATTCACTCGTAGTGCTTATAGTTCATATGGTTTTGATACAAACATTTTGGGAGCATGTAAATTCGTGCCGGAATTACCCTAGGGTTTACGTTGATGCCATTGCTGCTGCCTCTTATTCTTGCTGAAGTTAATTTCAGTGGAAACTCACTTTGAATGTCCAATGACATTTATTTGGTCATCTAACAATATTTTCAATAAAATATTGTCCGGATGTATAATTTTGACCTCAAAATTTTCCTTTGGAAAGATGAATTTGTGTTTAAAAGGTTGTTGAAGGACCTATTTAATTTCAAAAATTGGTAACTGAAGAATCGTTATGATGTGCTGAACTGGTTTTTGCTAGAGGATCAAACTGACAGCACTCGTATCTCTGAAAGGTCAAAATGGATGTTGACTTGTTAATTCTATTAGGCTGTGATCAGTGTTAGTGGCATTGCATCTTGTCAGTCTTTCAATGGCTAAAGTATGTAAACTTTGGTAAATTTAAATACTCTTTTGTGAGATTTTTCAACTTTATGAACATTTGAATTTCAGTAGGTATGCATGTTGGCTTAAGGAGAAAAGTCAACCTACATCTGGAAATGTTACACCTGGCATCCACCTCGAATTGTGGTTGATTATATGTATACATATAGTTAAGTTTTTATACAACTAGTTGACAGTAAAAAAAAAGATTGACATATTTGTCTATATAGGGTTGAAAGAGTCATCAGGTTATTGAAATATTTAATGGTGGTTGAATTTGTTTCATAAGCGTTTAATAATGTCACGGGGTTATTGACATCACAAGTGATTAATTTCTTGCATAATTATGGTTAATTTTATCTCATTAGTGGTAAATAGTGTTATGGAGTTATTGATCATCACATGTGGTTAATTACATATGTAAATATGTTTACTTTGTTTAACATGTGGTTAAGAGTGAATGAATGTGGCTGTATCAATTACCGATATGTGGTTAATAGTGTCATAGGCTATTGAAATGTTTATTGTGGTTAAATCTACCTTACAAGTGGTTAACATAATAGTTTTACAAAGTAATTGAAATGTCTAAAAATAGTTAACCCGTTGCGAATCCAAATTAACCATGTTCGCTATGTGCTTAACCACGTATGCTGGGTGGAAATTAGGTGTATGATAATTATTACACTTTATTTTATTCTTTTCAATGTGTACTTTGACATATAGCTATTAGCACCTTTCAATTCACTATTCAAATATATGAGTTAATTTGGCACAGCAAGCAAACAATTTGTATCATATGATTAATCTCAAATGATTTTGAATCTTACAGTACATGAACGAATTAGTGTAATTTTCATAATTAGTACGGATCAACAATTCATTACTTTTTGTTGTTTGCTTTCCTTTCACCAATTCTCATGAAAGAAATTGAATAGTCATATGAACTATTGAAAGAGCACAATTAAACTTATCCTATTTGATTATTCCACTTTCCACTACTCTATTAGTCACTCATTCATTTAATGGATGCACTTTATTGGCTTTTTCATTGCTTTGTTTCCAATCTTTCAAAATAGAGGCTATAAAAACTCAGACATAACCTACCAATAATTTTGTTTTATGGGGAATTTGGTTAAGTAGTTTTAATCTATTTATAGTTTAAAATTACTACATTGAACACCATGCGTCATCTATATAATATACTCGAAGTTGTTTTCATTGTCTTTGATGTCATGATTCATTACAAATTAAGATCCATAATTTAAACAAGCTAGCTTGGGGATTCCCAATTTTGATTACTAAGTTTGACTATATGCACAATGCTTCCATTTTATTTTATTGCAATTTACTAATCTTATTAATCATAAATATTTGTACTTTAAATTAAGAATTTTGTCAAACTAATTTTTGGGTTGACATTTATTGTTGTGTAGAGGAAGTACTATTGGAGAATGTGGAGCTGATACTTGATGCATTTGATTATCTCCAGCTTCCATTTGCACTAAAACAAGGTAAAGCAAATTCATCCTCCTACAAACATATAACTAAGACCTTCCATATATAATTAGTTTTGACTGAAGTGAAAATTTATTAATAAAAAAGGTATACAAAGCTAGGAGAATAATATTTTCTCCACAAGAAAACTAATAAAAGAGAAAATTACAGTGAGCCAGAAAGATGGAAATCAAGAATAACAGAGCATAATAGCATCCTAGCACTCTGATCTATGAAAATTTGACATGACAATCACATAAAAAGACCTTGAGAAGTGCTACATTTCTACATAAATCAGAAGCCAAACTGTATCCTTTCCTGCAACATTTCGACATATATCAGAAGAACTTGAATAACCTGAGCAATCCTTTCCAACTTGACACTACTCGAATAACAAATGCAGCTCATTTCCATAAAAATCTGAACCTGTTTTTTTATTCCATACTCTATGTCTTCTATTTATAATTATGCTGTTCTGTTTTTGTTTTTTCTGATAATTATGTCTTCTATTCTTGTGGCAGCTACTATTTTTTCTTTCCTAACATAGCTTGAAAATTTTGGCTAGGCCGAGTTGGGAAGTTAAGCATAAAAATTCCATGGAAAAAGCCTTGGGATCCCATTATAATCATATTAGAGGATGTCTTTATTTCTGCATCACAGCGAGGTGATCAAGAGGTACTTAATTCCATCACTCTGTGCCTAAGCTTCTGTTTCAAAAGTATTGACAACCTACTTGAAACCTTTAACGTAAAAATATAGTAAAGAAGTTTTAGGTTCTAAGCTGTATCATTTGTAGCCAAACATTTTTGTTGTGTATTATATTTATTGTACAGTTATTAGCGATTCTATGTTGTTGTAATAGTGGAGTGCTGATGCTGTTGAAAAAAGAGAATTTGCTGGAAAAAAGGCCAAGCTAGCAGCAGCAGAGTTGGGAAAATTATCCAGACGAGTGTGTGGTAAGCTATTTACAATCAATTCAAGTATTTATGTTCAAATATATTTTAGTTATTTTCTATGTAACAAAGTAAATTGAATTCCCTTGTCAAACACCAAAGAAGGCTTTGGATTTTATGAGACTTATGGTTAAGTATCATCTATTTCTGGTTTAGAATTACTATATTGAACACTATGTATCATCTATATAACATACTTGAAGTTGTTTTTCATTGTCTTTGATCTTAAAATTCTTTAAAAAGTATGATCCATAATTTAAAAAAACTAGCTTGGGGATTCACAATTTTGATAACTAAGTTTGACTTGATTTCAGAGATAGGGAATTTATTTATAAGCTCAATAGAAGGCCTCAGAAGGAGTTTAGCTCTTTATTTGAAGAAGTACAAATTGAATTTTTCATCTTTATGATATCAATCCTTAAGCTTCAACTCCTTGATAAAGCTACCTCTCCCTCTACCTGTGGCTACACTGCCTTGTCGTATTGAAGCCTTGATTTTTGTCTGTTGTGAAAAAATATTTTCATATTCATTACTTAACATAAATTAGGGCAGACCTTGGTGCAACAGTAAGGTTGCTGCCTTGTGACCTTACTCATGGTTCACGGGTTCAAGCCCAGGAAACAGCTTTTCTGCTTCTTGGGGTAAGGTCAAGTTATGTACATCTACCATCCTCAACCCTTACTAACAGGAGACCTGTGCATTGGTTTAATTTTTATTCTTTACTTAATAGATAACTATTAACAATTACCTCCTCTTCCATTGTGTCATTGTTAGGGTATAAAGTGAAGGAAAAGTTAGTTAGATAGTTAGCATACTAATGAGTTAGGTAGTTGCTTGAGATGTTATTTAGATATAAATAGGGTTAGAAGGATAGGAGAAGGAAGTCACTTTTTGTTAGATAAAAAACTGGACTGATTCCAGTGTGATAAGAGTAGTCTCCTTTGTGTACTTGTTTTCTTACGCATTCAATAAAATTGAGGGACGAATAAAGCCCTTTCTTCTCTTGTTGATTCAGAAGTCCTAACAGCCATGGTATGTTTGCTTCTCAATTCCAACATATATTAGCTAGGAATCTTTTTAAGGGCTTTTATTAAGCTTAGGTTCTGAAGCCAGTGAAGGAATTTCAATTTCTTCATTGATATGTAATCTTATCCAGCTCCAGTCTATTCCTTCTCTCGTTAACAGCTGGGGAGGATTGAGTAGTGATCAATCCATATGTTGCGAAAGAAGACAATGCTTTGTTTTTATTGGATACTCTGTTTGTTTGGTTTTGGACCCTATAGAACAATGATATGGCAACAAATATTTTTTATGTTGTGGCATCCTTTACTAGAGAGTACAGTAGGATACATTTTCCTCCAATGGTTACTTTCGTCTTTTGTTTCTAACAAACATTTTGAGAATTTAATAATCTTTCACAAGATTAAATTTCATCTTTTTGACCTGTAGTCTTTTGCTAATCCATGTGCTGCTCAACCTAATATATGGTGAAATATTTGTATATTTTGTTTTTATTAATTGCTTTTTTCTGCAGGTAGTCAAGCCGGGCAATCATTTATTTCTCATGTCACTACAAAGGTAGGAGTATTTTTTTTTTTTTTTTTTTTTCACAAGGTATTGTTGTTTCTGCGTAGGCTAGTCTCTTCATGTCAATATAGTCTAGTTCCTCCTAGGTGTCTAGAACCAAGCTCCTGTAAGCTTGTGTTATTTGATACAGTTCTAGGAATGATTTTTATCTGTAACATGCCCCTCATTCAATGTACTTTAAGTGTGAATAGAGCATTTTCTAAAACCAGGCCGGAGTGGCTTGACCAGTCAAACCAGTTCACAACTGGTGGAGATCGGAAGACTGGTGTAGAAAGCTGGTTTAAACTGGTAATTTAATTAATTATATTTTACAAATTAAATTTAAAACATTTTAAAGATAAATAAAAAAAATATTTAAGAAGGATAAGACATAGAAATAAATTATTTTATAAATTATTAAGCTTTATCTTATAAAATGTTTAATTTAGTCATTTATATTAATTTTCAACACTTGATATCTTGATTTCTTATAGTTTTATATTATATTAGTATGCGATTTTCCGTTTTTTCAGATATAAACTTGTTATTATTAATGGACAATATTGTAATTTATTAAAATGTAACCTAAGTAAAGATATATTATTTAATTATTATTCTAATTTTACTAATACTATGTTGGATCATAGTTGAACCCCATGTCCTCAAACTTGAGGATTGAGGATGGAAGGGGGATAAACAATCATAATTCGACTAGTGAGAGTTATTCATATACAAAAAACTATATTTATAGACGTGCAAGTGCATTAAAAAAATAATATAGACGAGAAAAATAGCTCATATAGATCATAAATATTAAGATCAGTTGCATAACACAATTCAGTATAGGTTCATACGTTATAAAATAACTAACAATGTACAGCATTCTTTCGAAAAGGTAAGACAATTTACACTTTCTCTTTTTGAAAATGCCATTGACAGCTCACCACCCTTTGCTTTAAAATACTTGCTGAAGTATCACTCTCTTCTTCCTTTCTCTTTTTCCAACCTCATCTGAATAACCCATACTAATCCCCCTTTCATTTTCTTTATACTGTGAATTTTTAGTCAAATTTTGCTGCAACCAAACCCAACATTAATTTTTTAACAATTTCAGGAACATCTCTACACTCTTCAACATCCTTTGAACTTCCCTCTAAATGATGCTTCAATCTATTAATTCCTGCTGTCAGTATTTTCTCATAATATTTGCACTTCACATTTCTTGCTTTCCCATCAATTTAGACACAATATGTTTATGAAACATCAGTCCTTGAATCAGTGCCACTTCCAGTTGCAACACCACTTGAACTGCCTTCAGTATATTTGTGGACCTGATTCCATTTTTTCTTCAAATTTTGAACCGATCAGAACATTCCAAATCTGAAGACTGCAAGAACAGAATATTAATAAGAAAGAATAGACCAGAACATCATGAAGAAATAATATATCAAAACACTTCCAGCAACTACCAAAAGCCAGCTGTGCACCCTCAACAGTTGGCAATGATGAAGGGAGCATCAGCAATGGGAGTTTTGGTGTCATTGATGGGAGCAATATGGTTTTGATTAGGGAAAATTGGGTCATGTTTTTAACTTTTAACTTGGATCAATGAACCCAACCGGGAAGCCCAAACATGATTTGGATTATTTGTCTTGGGTTAAAAAAAACCAAGGTCACATGGACTCAGTTCAAGATCAATGTGACCAAAATCCTCCTATTTTGAGAGAAAAATGCGATATTGCAATGGTTTATGAAATCTCCATGCTGGCCACCAGGTTTGCTTGCTTGTTCACCAAAAATGCCCAATATCATGCAAGTTTATATACCCGAGTTTGACAACATTGGTTGAACCATTAAACTTTCGACTAATGCCTTCACTGGTTGAATCACTGGTTCATTTCCGAATACATTGGAATGGAGCATATATATATATATATATATATATCACACCTATATTGAACCCTGAATTTTTTAGAATAATGTAGGCAGCAAGAACCAAACACTTGGCCACATGGTCACTATGTCAATAACTACCTCTCTTTAAAGTTTTCTTGTTGCTATGTATTGGAGTAGGAATGATTTTTAAGTTTATGTTCTGTTATCAATAAACTTTTTATAGCTGTATCAGATATGGCTACTGTTTTACTTTTCTTATTTGGGTAGTACACATGTTGATTCCGTTTTTTAAGTTTCTTTTCTTAGACCTTGGTGCAAAATGATTGAAATAATGAAGAAAGAAGAAAAATTGCTATTTCAAATTTTTATTTAGATTTGTGCCATTGGTTGCTTTTGAGTTCGGTTTTTTCTTATTATTTGTATTTTTCCATATTAGTAGTCTTCTTGTGGAATATATTTTATCCTCCTATTTGTTTAATTTTTATCTCTTCTTAATGAATGCACTTTTCTACAAAAAAGGACACCTGTACTTGGTTTGACTAATGCTTTATGCCAGTACCATTTTTATGCCTCATTGCTTTTCTTTCAGATCCTTGACAGCATTCAAGTAGACATACGGAATTTTCACGTATTATACTGTGATAGGCAGAATGATATGGTATGTTTATTTTGTAAATATTGCCCTTCAAATTACCAAGGTCTTTCATGTTGCCATAAAATATACGTATTTTAAGAATTTGCTTATTAACAACAATTTGATTGGCACTCGTTATTTTTAACATGTTTTATCAGGAGCAAATTATGTTTGGTTTGAAGTTTACTAGTTTGACCATGAAGCAAAATCTTATTGGGTAATGCTCTCTTACTTTTTTGTTACTTGAGCATACCTTTTTTTCTTTTCTTTTTTAGTTCAAGATTTCTGAAGAGGGTTTCCTGGATCTATTCAGGGCTGTGGAATATTTGATATGTATCCCTTTTTTACTGTATTCTTGAGTTGTTCATGAGCTCTCTGGAATATTTGGTTTGAAAGTTAGCTTCATTTATTGTTCCTTACAAAATGTACCGATACGCCTATTTTGTGGGTGCTTATCTTTATACCTTTTCATGTATTGCTTAACTAGTGTTTATTACATTTTATCTTGCTGCCCCTTTCATATTTTTTATTTATTTTTTAATAAATGTTCATTATTTTACCTTTCCTGAAATTCAATTAAATTGTAACACTTTGTTGGTACGGTTAATGGTATTGTGTTTGAAATGGTCCTGTCCTGTTTAAAGTTTTATCTCTACCCTGCAGGAGATTGCATGTGAGAAAATCCAAATTGATGCATGTGATTGAAATTTGCTATACGGGACAAACTACATGTTTTGAGATGTCAGTTTATGCATCAACTGTCAACTTATATTTTACTTATTTTCTCCTTATATTTCAGGTCTTCAAATGGTGGGATGAGAGTGGGCCAAGGACATAAAATTGTAGAAGTCAAGGGACTGGAGTTTTATTCCAGATTGTTTCATGGTTCAATGGACTTGGTAACTATGAATTGTATGGGTGACTCCTACTCAGCAAGCAATATTTGGTTGGAAGGAAAACATTACTATTCTATATTGGCACCATGTGATGCAACCTTAATTCTTTCGGTATGGACATCTTTAGTAGAACCCTCACGCACCATGATTCCATATCAACCTTGCATCTTACTAATTGTTGTTTTATTTATGATTGTAACTCACTCTTACTTAGAAGATAAACTTAAACTTTTATATTTCTATATCTGCTACAGAGAGAGAGAGAGACAATCTGTATGATGTTATGCTTATGGTATCTTTAGAGGTGTTTATTTATTTGACATGCAATGTAGTTGGCATGCCCTCTTACATGATTCAATGTCTTCGGTACTAGCTGTTTCCTTTTGTTATTTCCTTGTCAGGACGTTTTATTGTGTGCTTCTGTCAGTAAAATTTTCTATTCTATAGTAATTCTAACCAATGTTGTTTAGATTCAGATCCTACCTAGGACTGAGAGGACGGGGAAATATTGTAAATCACAGAATCGTGGCATATGGATTTTAAGATCCTACTGAAAATGCAAAATTATACTTAAATTATAGATATGCATAAGCTAACAAAAAATATCTAAATCACAACCTTTGACTATAATATGAAATTCGTGATAAAAGATTTCATACATTGCACACCATAATTTTATGATAACACAGGTATAAATACTAAAACACATAAATTGATTCAGCTTGAACAGCCTTCAAAACGAATAAAATTGTGCCATTTTATGATCATATTCAGATTTTGACAACCACTGTAATAACTTCATTTCTTGCAGTTTTTTGCTAACTCTCCAACGTTATTTTATATTTACTGCATATTTCCATCAATTGTGCAGTGGAGGTGTATTGCATTCCCCTTATTATTTTATGCATAACCTTCTGGTCAGTATTCTTTTAAATTAATATTAAGATCATGAGAGGCTCTTCTTTCTACTTGAGCTTTGCTTTTTATTCTCTTTGCCAGGATAACAGATTGCAAAAGGTTGATGACAATACTCCTCAGTATTCTGTCACTGCTGAATTGAGTGGTGTGGTTGGTACTCATTTTGTGGACTTTGTCAATTTAACTAATATGTTGTTAATCTTTTTTCTGTTCTACTTACATTTTTATATATTTTTCTAAAACTGTCTCTATTTATCTATCAGGTTATATCCTTAGATGAGGTTCAGTTACAGCACATGTGTCATGTGTGGGATTATATTTGCATTTGTAGATTAAGAGAAAAGTAAGTTTCTTGCCAAAGCTTGACATGAAATATGAGGAAAAACATTTAAATTTACTTTTCTAGTTTCTGAGTGTGCAATAATTTATACAGCCTTGGTCATAGAAACTTATGCTAGAATTATGCGCATCAAGTATAGTCTGACTACAACAAATGATGAAATCTAGACTAATCAATCCTATTAAGGAATAAATCGATCTTCAGAAAGGAAAGAAGAAATAAACACATTAAGCTGATGCTGCACATGTTACAACAGCTTGTAACAATTATGTTTTACCATTAAAAAAGTACCTTCTGGACATACTTTCACTTTATGTATACACACACACACACACACACACACACACACATATATATATATATATATATATATATATATATAGAAGCTAAACAATATTGATACATATGAAGTGAAACACAGCAAGGTTAAAACACTAGTAATTTTTTTTACTGTTCACTTAATTATTTTTCTTTATAGCAATTTTAATTTCAAAGAATTTTTTTTAGAAACAATTCAGCAGACCACAGAAGTCCCCCAATCTGCTACTAAAGTAAACCTGTGAAAGTCTGTCACTTTTGCTTATCGCAGTGGTTGGAAGAGATCAGTGGATGTGAAAAATGTTTCCAGCCATCGACTGCTCAGTTATTCTATTATTATATTGAAGCACAATACTCTTTTATAAATTCCAATTATATTCATTGATTTGTGCTTTTCGTCTATTGTAAAATACAAAAAAGTTGATCTAGAAATATTGCAGTTCACCTATAATTTCTTTGTTCTGATCTAACTTCAGCACTAATCATGGACAACTTCCACCATTCATTATGCAAAATAGTTATCTTTGTTGAAGCTAAAACTGGCTGCGGACCAATCAGAATGATTAAATACTTCATATTTTTTCAGATACTCTGGTTCTTGCCATTCCTTCACAGAGCTAAACTGGTTTCAGACTTTTATTTGTTACATTTGTTAATGCAAGGATTGTGTAAATACTTGGTAGTTGCATCAATTAGTTTGGCTCCTAGAAATCCTTGATTATCCACATGGAATTAATTTGTTCTTTTCCCTTCCATGAACCGGAATTGGGGGGAAATCACCTTTCTAGGATGAGCTTGATAGCTATTATTCTTATTGTATGTTGCCTTTCGTACAATTCTTGCTCTTCAAATGAAATTGTCTCTTGTATAAAAAGTATGGCTTTAGGTTTTTGAAATATTTTAACAATTATATTATATAGGTATGGTCGCTTTCGCCCCTGGCATTGCATTTTACCAAGAAAATGTGAAGGTTGGCAGATATTTTGGTGGCACTATGCACAACAATCAGTTCTTTCTGATGTTCGTAGGAAATTGAAGAAAACATCATGGAGATACTTTGGGGATCGATTGTAAGTTCTTGTAAATTTAATTCTACTTTCAATAAAGCTTGTGTTTGATTCATGTTGTGTCATGGTGGATGCTAATGACCAGTGAGAGCAGGATTGGTGTTCAATGTGAAAGTGGGATTTGTGTAAAAAACATCAATGTAGTGCATGAAATTGCAATTTTTTTTTAAGTAATATTCAATATATGCTTGCCCTTTTGGTGTGGTTGAGGTTATGAAGTATTTCTTCACATGTTTTATTGAAGTAATCGACAGAGAAAACTAAAATCTAGATCTGTATTGTAATGGTAAATTTGTACAATGAAAAGTTATAGCACCTATATATACTGTTTGAGCATAACCAAAATAGGAAGATATCAATAACTGTGACAATAGCAGTTATAACCGACTCTATCAGAAACTTAACTGCATGAAGCACACAAAATAACTAGGTACAGAGGAGATAGCCTTGGTAGGAGTATTCTCTCTCTGTGAGCCAGTTCAAGATAGGTGAAAGACCAAGGGTAACTCAACTGCATTGAGTTTGCGTCTTGTTGAATATAGTGAAAAACTAGCTGGAAGGTTAATTTCTCTTGTTTTTAAAATACACATAGGGTAATATATTTATAATTAAGAGTCATATTTGTGATTAATAATATCTAATATATCTAACACTCTCCCTCAAGCTGATGCATAATCATATGTACCAGGCTTGTTACAAATATAATTAACTTTAGGTCCTCGTAAAGACTTGGTGAAAATATCTGCTAACTGTTCACTTGAGTTAACAAGCTCAGTCTTGATGTCTCCATATTCAATCTTTTCTCGAATAAAATGACAGTCAACTTCAATGTGTTTGGTCCTTTCATGAAAGACAAGATTAGAACTAATATGAAGAGAACCTAATTAACACATATAAGTGTCATTTGAGTGAAATCTCCAAATTGTAACCTTCTAACTAATTGTTTAAGCCAAACAAGTTCAGAAGTGGCTGAGGCCATAACTCTATATTATGCGTCTGCACTAAATCTTGGCACAACACTTTGTTTCTTGCTCTTCCAAAAGATCAAGTTATCTCTAATAGAAACACAGTATTTGGAAGTAGATCTTCTATCAGAAGGAGATCATGTCCAGTCAGCATTTGAATAACAGACAACTTTAGCTTGGTTATTGTGATCATATAACAAACCTTTCTCAGGAGATCCTTTAATGTACTTTAATATACGGATGACTGCATTCCAATGATTTGCACATGGGGAATTAAGAAATTGACTTACCACACTAAATGCAAAGAAAATGTCAGGACGAATAATAGTAAGATAGTTTAATTTTCCAACTAATCTTTTGTGCTTCTCAAGATCTGAGAAAGGCTCCCCCTAATTAGCTAGGAGTTTGGTATTGGTATCCATGTGTGTCAACAAATTTTGAGTTCATCAACCCAGTTTCTTCAAAAAATAGTCAATGCATATTTTCTCTGAGATATAACAATACCATTATTGGGTTGTGCTACCTCAATGCCTAAGAAATATCCAAGTTTGTCAAAATCTTTGGTTTGAAAGTGGTAACAAAGGTGTTGCTTCATTTGGGAGATGTCATGGTGATCACTCCCTGTAATAACAATATCATCAACATATACTATTAAATAGATACACCCAGACCTTAAGTGATGATAAAATACTAAATGATTTGTCTCACTGCGAGTCATACCAAACTGTTGAACAACACTGCTAAATTTACCAAACTAGACCCTAGGAGACTCTTTTAGGCCATTTAAAGATTTGTGAAAACGACATACTAATCCATAAGACTACATATAAAGATTTGTGAAGACGACATACTAATCCAGAATCCAAACAAAGCCTGAAGGTTGTTCCATATAAATTTCTTCCTTCAAATCTCCATTAAGAAAAACATTTTTGACATCCAGTTGGTAAAGAGGCCATTGTTGAAGAGCAACCATGGCTATGAATAAGCGAACGAAAGCCATTTTTGCCACGGGAGAAAAGGTGTCACCATAGTCCAAATCAAAAATTTGTGTATAACCGTTGGTCACAAGACGAACTTTTAAACAACCAATATTACCATCATTACCATCAGGACCAACTTTGATAGCAAAAACCCACCTGCAACTAATAACAGATTTTTCAGACCGTAATGGGACTAGTTCTTAAGTTCTACTATTCTAGAGAACACTCATTTCATCAAGCATGGTTTGACGCCAATCAGGATGGGCTAAGGCATCACCTACGGATTTGGGAATTGACACAAGAAATGGACGAAAGACAGGTATAAAAAGTTGAAAATAATCTACGATAACTCAAAACAGTATAATGAGGAGAGAAATTACGATTAGAACGTATATCTTTACGGAGGACAATTGGAAGGTCAAACTCAATTGTCAAAGTAGGAGGAGACAAAGGAGTTGGCACTAGAAGTGATTCATTTGGTAGTTGTTGGGATTGTTGTCTTCGACTATAAACCTAAAGTGGTGGTGGCGGAGGAGGATCTGAAAGTGGTCTAATAGAAGAATCACAAACAACAGGAATATTGACACTAGCAGAAGGCAACACACACGGAGAAGAAGGACACTTAAAGTAAAAGGAAGACTCATTTAAGGTGGCATCTGTAGAAATAAAATAACTATTAAGAGAAGGAGAGAAACACTTATATCCTTTTTGTGATCGAGTAAATCCTAAAAAAACATATTTGTGTGATTTAGGAGATAACTTATCAAGACCAGGATTAAAATTATGAACAAAACATATAGACCAAAAAACTTTAAGAGATAAGGGATGTAGAGGTTCATGAGGAAATTAAAGAGAATGAGGAATTTTGTTATTTAGAATTGAAGATGACATGCGATTGATAAGATAAGATGCGGTAAGAACATCACCATGAATTAAAAGAGTGCGAGTTGTTTCAACAAGATGTCTATTCTTGCGCTTAACCATCTCATTTTGTTGAGGTGTATAAGCACATATAGTTTGATGAAGAATTCCATCAAAAGCCATAAAATGTTTAAAAGAACAAGAAAGGTATTCACGACCATTATCACTTCGCAAAGTTCGAATAGAAATCCCAAACTGAATTTTAATTTCATTAAAAAAATTATTGGAATATAAAAAATAATTCAGAACGATATTTCATCAAAAACAACCAAGTACTTCTGGAATAATTATCAATAAAGGTAATAAAATACTAAAAACTTAAATTAGACTCAACATGACTGGGTCCCCAAATGTTAGAGTGAACTAATGCAAAACGGGATGAAGCACATTGTGAGACACCACGAGGAAATAAACTACGACTATGTTTCCTTAATTGACATGACTCACATGCCAAACTAGATAAATTGAACAGACTGGGAACAAGTTGCTGTAATTTGGCAAGACTAGGGTGACCTAGCTGAGCATGGAAGAGAGATGGAGACTCCATAACTATGCCAACATGTGTAGAAGGGTGGAGATGATAAAGACCATGAGACTTACATTCGGTGCCAATCATCTATCTTGAACTCTGGTTCTATAAACAAACATAATATTTGGTAAAAGAAATGACATAATCAAGAGAACGAGTTAGACGACTAATGGATAATAAGTTAAAGGGAGACCCAAGGACATAAATAATATTATTAATGGATAAAGATGAAAAAAGTTTAACGGTACCAATACCATGAGACAAAATCCTGGATCCATCATCCATTGTAATGAAAGAGAAATTATTCGGTGAGGATAAAGAAGAAAACAAAGATTTGTTCCTAGTAATGTGATCTATGGCGCCTGAGTCAAGAACCCAAGGTCCAAGAGAAGAAGATCGAGTTAGGCCAACAAAAGATGTACCTGTGTATGCATCAGAAGTAGTGGAACTAGAGTTCTGACGATCCTCATATCATTTGAAAAATTCATTGAAAATAACATATTTGTCTGCGGTATAAGATGATCCACATTAGATGATTGTGAGGGAGGATTAGTTTCAACAACTGCAACATATCGAGGAGGACGACCATGTAATGCATAACACCTGTCAATCTTATGGCCTAGCTTATGACAATGATCGCACTTGTGACATCCTTTTCCTGGCTTGCGAGAGCGATTGCGATCATCACGTTAAGACGCCAAAGCAGAGAATCATCGGCGAAAACATATATATCAATGATGTGTTTACTTGACATACGCAAAAGGGTGGAACAAGTAGAAGTCAAAATTGGGCACAATAGAAGAACCCGAAAACTGATCACGAACATGGAAATATTCATAAGCAAGCCAGTGTAAGGCCAACAACTTGAAGAACTTTGACCGTTGCTATAGTTCTTGGGTAGGAGTAGAGGCAGGAGGTAATAACTCATTAAAGTCATGAAGAAGAGCATGAATTTTACCCAAATATTCAACCATTGGGTCATGACTTCAAGGAGCAACAAGTGAGAAGATTGTGTCAAACCTCATAAAGACGTTGAGTGTAATTGGTATATAATAATTTTGCCTGATCCCAAATCTCGGAACATGTTTCGTAGGCACGAAACATTTGCTTTAAAGAGGAGTGAATGGTAGACTTGAGAACAATGCATAATTGAACATCAATTTTCATCTAATGAGAAACTTCACTATTAGCAATAGTAGGCACAAACTTCACTAGTAGCAATAGTAGGCACATTTTGAGTAAGATGATCAACATGCCCATAACTCTTAAGCTAAAGTTTAATGTCTAACGCCTAAGTTGCATTAGTTCCATCTAACTTATCAATAGACAAGTGCACATTCACATAATTAGTATAGACTGACATGTTAGATAGATAGGTGGCAGAAGAAGAGATATCAGAAGAGGTAGCGGAAGAAGCCTTGGAGGAAGAGAGAGAAAAAAACCCTAAAAAATTTAAATGGTATGTGCAAACTTCAATCGTGGTGATCTCAATGGCGCGGTGGTAGCCTAGTCGAGACGAGCAGAACAATGTGGTCGTCGGCTTGAACTGTAACTCCGGCGGTGGTGGCAGCGGTGGCTCTGTCGATGGAGGCGGCAGGTGCAAGGACAGCGG